TCCGATTTAGAAGAAATGATTTTTCTCAACAACCAAAAGGACTGTGCATGTTAACACAAATGTAAATCATGAGAATGACAGTTACCGATGAAAATGTTCAGAGTAAAACTATTTTTTGTTCTGCTGATATGCAATTTCTTTTTTCGGAACCTCATCGTGCCGATTGTAGTCAAACTCTTTTTCCTTTTGGTTTACTTTAGATGTAACGTGTCAAGCTGAAAGTTGCATTTTGTGCTCAGCATGGACGAATATGAGGAAATTTCAGAGGAGACAATGGACAAGCCTCCTACTGGCGACGATATTTCAAATAAAATTGATTCCGTCATAAAACATTTGAAAGCGAATAGTATATCTTTGACTGAGGTTGAGAAGCTCAAATCCTATAAGAAACTTCGTGCGATTATTTTTACAAAATCAAAATCAATCAATCATTTATCTTTGTTCAGAAAGATCACGTTTAAAATTGATATTTACATAATTCTTTCCGTTTTATTTGGTCTGCTTGGTTTAATTACAACATTTCTCTCTTATTACGGTCTTGAATTGTTCATTAATGAAACATATAAACATCTATTTGAAATCGATCTACGACATGAACAATGTTTGGTACCTAAATTAGAATTTTTACTTGATATTGTTCGGCCAGCATCGAACTGTGATCTATGCCGGAATATTCAGAATGTTGATCGTATCAATAATGTTACACGTGAAGAATTTGAAGAAAAGTATGCTTATACTAGACATCCTGTGATAATAACGGACGCTATGAAAAATTGGCTAGCAGTGAAAAAGTTTAATTATAATTTCTTTAAACGTTTATATCGTCCAGATTCAACCGCATTACGTTCAGTTGAAGAAGTCTGTCAGTTTTTTCCCTATAAAAACAAAGCAGAATTTGATACACTGGCTGATGTTTTTATGATGGATACTGTACGTGCTTATATGTTAGAAACAAATTATAAACCATGGTATGTTGGATGGAGTAATTGTGATTATTCAACTGCTTATTTATTAAGACAATATTATTCAAGACCATATTTCTTACCAGAGCAGAGTGAATCATCCAAAGTTGATTGGATATTTATGGTAAACAAGTTTTTAAACTCAAAGAACAAAAATCTAATTTAACAGTTTGTTTCTAGGGAACACCAGGTCTTGGAGCGCATATGCACATTGATAATGTTGATTTGCCATCATGGCAGGCACAAGTCAAAGGTAAACCCATCGAAAGCATCTAATAATAAACTCATAATTGCTCTTACATAGGTCGAAAAAAATGGACATTACGTCCTGCGCCAGAATGTATGCTTGCCTGTAAAGAATTAAATATAATAATGCAACCAGGTGAAATTATTGTACTAGACACAAACTGGTGGTATCACAAGACATATGTGATAAGTGAAGACGAAATAAGTATCACGATTGGATCAGAATTTGATTAAACTTTTTTATATATCACTAGACAAATGTTGTTCGGTGCTAACAATATTTCTCCGCACATAATCGACAAAAGTTCTTAAAATGATAGGCTGCACACACAATCTAAAACCTTTTTCTCTTTTTAATATCTCTCATGTTTTGACCAGATTATTTTTGAGCTTTTCTCCGTTTTCTATTTATTCTTTTCATGTCATTTTCACTGTCATGTGTCTACGTGTTCGCTATTACCTGTTTTATGTAACAATGACAGCTTTTTTGCTTCTGCTATTCACTCAGATAGCATTACTGGTGCTATAAAGCTTTGATATTTTTATATGGCATTTTTTTTGCTGCAATCAAATAATTGTTTATTTCGCTTTTATATATTTTTTAACTGAAGTTAGGTCTTTTATAACGAAAATCTCACATATAAATGAAACTGACGCCATATTTTATTTTACTTTTGCGAAATAAAGAATCGGTCGTTTTAGTGAAAAAACCCAAATGAAACCGCATGGTACAGTGTCATTGAAGAGCGAAAGAATTCTAATCATATGGCTAGCTTTTATTAACTAGTCGACAGAGATTACGACAATCTTATCATGATTATAATGAAATCACTAAAATCAAATAAACCATGCATAGTAGCACGACTTTACACTATTCAGTACCTTTTTGTTTGAATATCACATCAATGTGCGAAGTGTACAATATACGAAACAAATTCATCAAAGCTAGTCATTCTTGCAATTTTTTCTGCGAGATGAGTAGCGTCCTACGCACTCGTAAGTTACAAATTAAAACCTTGATTGCTTAACAAGTCACCTAAATCGGTTCCGTTACCTTCATCCATTCCACTGATTAAACTGACAAGACAGACCAGATCAATGAGTAATATGTTCAAACGCATGCTCAAATTCTTATTATTTCCATACGGGTCCTCCTCAATTATTATCAACTAATATTATTCGACATGTTTCTAAACTCAGTTTGACGAGGAGACACCGAAACTGCATTTGAAAACATTTTTAATTCCCATCTTGATCAAACAAAATTTGCCAACACTGAAGAAACCCGCAACCTTGATAGGAAAACAATCCCACTAGTGGAAACATTTATCTGATAGTACGAAAATTGGTGTGTACGGTCTCTGTGATAACTCAATATTTTGTCTAACTTTATCACTGCTTTTGCTTGTGACTTAAAATATTTATTACCATAGAAAGTAGAACAGCAGTTATGTACAATTAAACTATCATTAATAATTTAATTCATTTAATAATTTAACTGTTGTTATAGCTGACAGTTTGCTTTTGCACGGCTTCGTACGGAGGTGGTGTGTCAGATGTTGGAAACGGTGTTTTAGGTGTTGGTGCTAGTTTTATTTTATACCATCCTGGACGATAGTTTTCATCGGATATTTGCCTCAGCAGTTCTTTCTCAGCCTCTAATCGTTGGATTTCGATGTATTTTCGCCATATGATGGTTATAATGATCAATATTAAGATGAGGACAGATAAGACCGTGGCAATGTCGGCCATATATAGACCAAAGCCTTGATGGACATATAAATATCTTGTTTCATCTACAAATCTTCCTGGAGAGTAAAACTGCGTCAAGCTAATAAATATCATTGACGCGATGAGTAGTATGGTGAATGCCAATGCCAATACTAAAAGTATATAAATCAGTGCAGTGATATGATGACGATAGCGATCATTATGATTGTAAGCGATCAGTATGACTGTGGCATATGACGGAAACACGGTTAAATTGGTTATTAATAATGTACAGGCAAAAAGCATGAGTACAACATTGAAATTGGCTGGTCGAGTAGCTTTTGTCCATGCGTCACAATCGACAGGTGCATAAACATGGCCACTACACAAATACCACAAGCCAATACTGCCACGTTCGACTGTTCGTCCATACGTTCGACTATCGTTATTTATAGATTCATACATAAACCACTCGTTTGATCGGAAACTGATGACGATTATGAATGCAACAACCGTCGTCGTTACACTGACAATGGTTAACAGCCATTTCAGGGTCCGATAATCGTTTGATGACGACGATAAACTTCCAAATGAATTAGCCATTACTTTATTCTATGACTACATCCATTCTTTCTTCATCAGACACTGTCTACTAAACAAAAAGCAAAGTAAGAAGAGGCAGTGGAGTTTGAAAACGTCAAAGCAGACCATATTTTTTTGACCATTCACAGAGTCAAC